TCTGTTTATTTAAAAAAATTAAGACAGTAAAAATATTTTTCAAATTCTAACCCGACCACTTAATAGACCTAGTCTCATTATAAATGTGTTCAATGAGTTATTCGAAAGAATAAATTTTAACTGGGAATGAAGAGTATTATTTCTTAATATTAACTTTCTTTAACCCCTCAGGCGCTTGAAATAGCACTTCCCTGATTTTCCCGAGTGGCGCTAGGGAAAATCTTTTTTATTTTCTAATTCTCTTATTTGCTTGTAATTTTTGTTCGCTTAGTGTGCTATGTTTCCAACAGATGTCTCTAATATTAAAGATTGATTACAAAAAATGTCTCTAAACTGGTTTTAAGGATATGTGTTACTTCTTTTTTTTAGAATAGATAAATCAGTAGTTTTCTTTTTACTACATCGGTATACCGCAACCTATGAACACTATTACTTTTAAATTTGGAGCTTAAAATAGAAGACAAATGAGTGATTATAAGAGGATCATAACGGGAAGTATTTCTCATATTGACTCATGTAGTGAGTCTAAAATTTCTGTAAATAAATGTGCAAGGAATGGAAGTTTATTATCGGACTTCTCCTGTGGTGTTGATAGATTGGATCAGCATCTCACAAGTTACCCAATAACCAAAAAGCGGTAAGAAGTATTACAAAAAACGATTCATACATCTTGCGGATACATCATTGTAAAATTATTTCGTTTTATATCAGAAACTGGGAGTATAATTATCTCAATTGAATTTCAGGCCTGATGTTGTAGATCGTCTTATTGAAAGACATGGGGTGGTAAAAGAGAAAAAAGGACGACTAGGAATTTTGCTCAGTCTCTTCGGAAAGACAGTAAAAAGTATTTAGATGTGATTCCTCCCACGGACAAAAATTTGAGACCCACAAGGCAATGTTTTGTGTGTTGTTCAACAATAAACGATTTTGGGAAACGGGTTAAAAAAAGAAACACGATATTTTTGTCGTAATTGCGATGTTAGATTATGCTTGTTTTCCTGTTTCAAAATTTACCACACAAAAACAGAAATTGAAGAGAATAATTAACTTTCGTACAATATTACTTTTTAAAACCTAACATACATTTTTGTAAAGTGTTCTTTTGAGCTCGCTTATTTCTTCGGAAACAAGCTAACTCTAAGAAAAAATATGTTTCTTCAATGAAACTAAAAGTTGACATAACTATTTGAATTCAATATTTGTAGAATTTCTGACTGCAGATTTAAGTTTATGTAATTGATTTCATCTTAAAAATATTTACAAAAAATGTTTTTTTTTTACATAATGTAACAGAAAAATGAAACTACTAAGATGTTAAAGGAATTAAAATTTAATGAATTATTTTATTAACTTCAAGTATAACTTAATAAACGAAGGGAACTAAAAATATATATATCATAAAATAATTAAAATAATTTTCCTTCAAAGCTAAATACATTGGTATAGTATTGAATATTTTGTCCATAAACACTCTTAGTGAGCGTGTCAATGTATTTTTATGACCTCTCTATGTTCTCTTTGTCTCATTTAATTAAAACTAACTCTAACGGGTTTATTGATTTTAATGCAATAGAACTGATCAAAATTTATTAATTAATCTAAAATTTTAATTAAATCACCAATAGATAAAAATAATAAGTACCTGCTCACTAACTAGAAATTCATCCGCTTCTTTTCCAATTCCTACTATTAGTTCCCTCTCTCCATGTATATATATATATATATATATATATATATATATATATATATATATATATATATGTAAGGATAATTAAATTAGATTAAAAATTAAATTCCCTATCTAGCACTTGACTCATCTTTCTCAGTCCCATCTTCAAGTATCAAACTAATCACCCATTTATTTCTTCCGAACATATGGCCGAGCCAATAAACATGTCTAATTCCAGATCGTTAGATTTAATAGTCAACATATGTCAGCATTAACTTGCAATTAACCTCTTCAAAGCAGCGATACTTACCATATGTTTTTCAAGAGTTATCCACTTGAAACCACCACCATGGCGTGCTTTTTTACTCCCTGCCCTTAGTGTCAGAAGAGATGTTGAAACGATTGAATAAAGATCTCCTTTTTTAAACTTTAATCTGATTCTGTCTTAAAAATCATGACAAAATTAAAGCCGGCAGGATCTTTGTCTGCGATCTTAATATAAAAAACTAATCTTTTTTATAAAATAATTTAATATAAAAACTAACGCCAACGAACGTAATAACAGATATGGAGAATTTTATGGAACTTCGACGGCACTCTATATCTGTTAGCTGAGACCGTTGGGTTACCAGAATTAATCTATGGTACGGAAAAAGAAACGCGCTAGTAATCCTCGGAAGAACATCGCTCTTAACGCCGAGAAGAAAGCAGTGTTTACCGCCGAACGATATTCTGTTTTTGCTGAAGAGGCCATCCAGTTTACCGTGAATGGAAGAAACATTCTAATGGAAAGAAAAAGAAAAAAAATGGGGAAAGCGTGAATCCCCTAAACTCCATGATGAAAGACGTCACTCCCTTTCGCCAGAAAAATAAAAGGAAAAAATCTTCTTCGCCGGAAAGTCTGCACGGTAATATTGTGAATTTGACCACCATATAATAATACTGAAATACCAACATTGAAAGAAAAATAAATAAATTAAATTTTACTAGTGAAATAACGTGACAACAGCATCTGGATTAATGTTCACCAAGGAGTTCTGCCGCTGCAAAGTGAAGGTCAGTTAAATTGTATATTTCCAATTTTAGTAACATTGAAGAACTGAGTTTTACTGAACAGAACTTGTCGAAAAAGATTAATATATGATATGATATGGTATTTAATTTTTATAATATAGTTGTGTTATAAATGAGATATTTTCTTTATATATTAATTGAGAAAACAAAGTATATAGGTTTAGTCATACGACATTTTGAGAAATTTTAATATACTTCTCATAATTTTATCTTAAGATGTCGAATGAGTTAAGAGTTATGATAGAAATTGGTGTTTTAAAGTTGAAAAATATAAATTAAGTTTTTAGAAAAACGATTAATGTACTAATACTAATGATATTTTGATAAGAAGCACAAGTAAAGTCACGTTGCATTCTCTTTTCTCCACTGAATTAAATTGTTTTGCTAATTATTTTATTCAGCAGTAATCTTATTGCATGTCATTTAATTTTTTTTAATTTTGAAATTGTGTGTTTTGATATACCGGCCATATATCAAGATTCACTATTTCTTAAAATTTTCCTTATCTAAAATTAAAATTAACTTAATAACTTGAAGTCTAATTTTGGATATTATACAGTGGATAAGGGAGAATACAATCATTATAATTTTGTATATGTCTCGAAACATTAAAAGGACAAACTTGTTTAGTTTGATATGTACACCTCTCATTGTTTCTTATCAGCATCCCTGAACATCTGTGAGTTGATGACGCAGATTTCTCAGAGAGATGTGTTCAAAATTAAGTAAGGTGATACAGTTTTATTAGTGAATGCGTGATGCAAGAGAAACTCAAGAATTTTTGTCTATGAAACGTATTTTTAGAAGGTTACGGAAAGATTCAAAATATTGCATGCGATATTAAGTTACAATGAATATTGTGAAAAATTTTCAGAAATACTAAAAGTTATTATTGAAGTGAGTCCACTTTTTCGACTCAAAATAATAAAAAAGAACTCTTATATTCTTATAATTTTTATATTTTTGTATTTTATAACGCATAGAAAATAAAATATTGTTTATTGTGTTGAATAGTGCATATATAAGTTGTGTGTTGTACACTGTTTTCATATTATTAATAATTTCATTTTATTGGTGTCTGCGTTTTTTATCTTTTATAAAAATGTATTTCATGTATGCAAAATTTAGTGTATCGATGGCGCCAGAGTAGATTTTTATACAAAATTATTATTTTAACATTTGTATGATTTCATGTATTTTTATATTTACTATCTTATTGTTTGATATATTATTTTCCAACATAATTTTTTTGAAAATATCTACCAGCTATAATACGAATCTATTATTATGAAGGAATAGGAGGAAACGCGAGCTCTTTTTCTGGATGTCGAATAGATTTAAACAAGCTAATCTTTAATTATATGTATGGAAATTCATTTTTATCAATTAATTTCATTACTGTGTTTGTTGTTATAGTTTCGTTTATTATATTGCCCTTTGATTTTAGTATTCCTATTGCTTAAATATTTCTATTGTGTGTAATATGTCTTTCTAAATAACTATGTATTGTTTTGTGGTTGTTGAAAATTGATTAAGTTTGTAAACAGAAAAAATCACGCCATGACTCCTTTTAAAATTGGGAGGCAAATGTAAGGATAATTATATTAGATTAAAAATTAAATTCCCTATCTAGCACTTGATTCATCTTTCTCAGATTGCATCTTCAAGTATCGAACTAATCACCCATTTATTTCTTCCGAACATATGGCCTAGCCAATAAACATGTCTACTTCCAGATCGTTAGATTTAATAGTCAACATATGTCAGCATTAACTTGCAAGCAACCTCTTCAAAGCAGTGATTCTTACCATATGTTTTTCAAGTGTCATCTACTTGAAACCACCACCATGGCGTGCTTTTTCCTCCCTGCTCTCAGAGTCAGAACAGATGTACCAATGAAAGAATAAAAGTCGTCTTTCCACTTTTCTAACTTTAATATGATTCTGTCTTAAAAATCATGACATATATTTATATATATATATATATATATATATATATATATATATATATATATATATATATATATATATATATATATATATCTTGTTCAAATTTTCAATCGTTAATAAATTAATTTCTATTCATCCATTTAAGTTCAAAAACACATTTTTTTAAAACTTGTCGTGGTTGACATTTGATGTTAACACATTTATTCCAAATAAGAATTAATTATTTAAATTTTAAAAATGAATAAATAGTAACAAGCAAAAATAATAGTTTAACACAATATATAGAATGGGAAAAAGTCCGTTATGTCTCTGTAGTGCAATCGATAGCACATTGGACTTCTATTCCAGAGGTTGTGTGTTCTAATTCCACCTGGGGTTGTTTAATTTCTGATAATGTTATTTCTTTTTACTCTAACATTTTATTAGAATAATTAAATTTAATCAATGAATAAATAGCAAGAAAAAAAAGCAGTCGAACACTATAGATAGAAAAGAAAATGGAAAATGGCAAGCAAAATCGCTTTCTATTTTGTCAATTAATATGGTGAATCTGTCATATAAATATACATATTTCTTTTAATTTGAATTATTTAATAAGAAGTAACTAAAATAAGATTTTTCTTTCTCGACCTATAGTAGAAATTGACTTAACAGTTTTTACATTACTTGTTAAGTATTAGATTTCAAATTCTTAGAAAAAATTCATTCTCGTTTTGATGAGAATGACATTCATGGAAATCATTTTGAGAGAAAGGAAACAGACGTATCATTACACATATTCTTAGAATGCAATTTTTCAAAATAACGAGTATTTCAAATGACATGAAAAGCAATGGCATTTTTAATGGAAAAAACAGTTGTTAGAATGATTAAAATTTTCTCCATGAGGTATATAATTATTCTTTTACAGATGGACAGAAAAGGAAGCATTTATTTTCTTAATAATACTTACGTTTATCATACTTTTATAATCTCGAATTTAATAATATTACTCTACCTCTTAACTTTTGAATAGTTTTAAGTCATCTTAATGGAATAATTAAATTGTTAATATTGAAGTTTTTTAAGTAATGCTGCTCATAGGATCAATTAAGGTTTTTGTATTCTCAGACAGAATTTTCAAAAGATAATGAAAATCAAAATAAAAGCTTTTAAAAGCAAAATGTTTTTTTTAATGAAGAAGGAAGTTATATTTTTTTCATTTCAAAGTATTCTTTAATGTGATTTTCGTATAGTTAAAGTAAACACCTTTTAATATAATTAGAAAATAAAAGATAAAGGAGAAAAATTACGTAATCAATCGAATAAAAAAAAATTCAGTTATGTTAATGTGACGTTTATTCTTTTACATATTTTCAAAATATTAGAGATCTTTAAGCAAAACAAAAATATAAAGCTGCTAAAATTAAATTTTTGAGGACAATAAATTATACAAGAAAATTTGTTTATACTTTCCTCCGATTTCTGGAACACATGATGCGACAATTGTATAATTCATAATATTGTTGATAGGGAAAATTCCTCTGCCTCTTCCGTCTCTAATTATGTTTACAGGGTGCAGCAAAAAAAAACCGGAAAAACAATTTTTTATGAGAAAACACTCATGGACAAAACAATTAAGCGCACTAAAAAGGAGTCGTCAAAATGAAACGAAATTTTACATACGTAATGACTACTTTAATATATGTAAACGATTAGAAAATCAAACAAAAAGGATGTTTTATTTCAGAGAAAAAAGGAAAAAGAACGGAGGATTTAATATCCTGTTGACCCCCTCTAGCATGAATGCACGATTTTATACGATCAAACAATGAGGCATAATAGTTATGTATGATGTCTTGAGACGTTTCGTTCCATATTTTCTGTAACTTTGCCTCTAGTTCATTCAAATTCGTAGGATGCTCAACTTGCCATCCCAAACGACCCCAGTTAGGTTCGATTGGAGACAAATTTGGGATGGAGCGGTCAAGGAAGGGTAGTAACAGTGAGGAGACAGTCTTGTGACATTCTTACTGTGTGAGGCCGAGCATTGTCTTGTTGAAAAATTGTTTTTCGGAGCCGCTCAATGAGTGGCAACACCGGTGGTTGTAGGGTGTCATGGAAATACCACTGGGCTGTCTTGGTGCTACGAATCAATATTAAGAGGGACCATGTAATGTAGAGAATGGCATCTCAAACCATCACACCAGCCGTTGGAGTGGTGTGTCGCTGTAAAGGAAAAGCGAAATTGAGACGTTTATCCCGGGGACTCCACACACGAACACGATTGTCATCACTGCTGAGACTGAATCTGGATTCTTCACTTAAGATGACCTGGTTCCATTCTGCTGCAGCCCAGTTTTCTCGTGTGCGGCTCCAGTCCGAACGAAGGAGTCGATAGGTGGGCGTCAATGGCACCACACGTAATGGGCGCCGTGATCCCAAATATCCTTAAGCCAGACGCCTTCGTATGGTTTGGGAAGACACAGGGGCCCCTAGTGAAAAGGCGACCTATGCCTGGATGGTAGCCGATGAAGCAGTTGGCTGTACGCGTGCATTTATTACGATGTGGCGATCTTCTCGACGACGGATCTGTTGAGGGTGTCCTCAGCCTGCTCTTCTTGTAAATGATATTTTTCGGATCCACTGGTCCCAAGACCTCCTCACAACACAATCAGAGCGGCTTAATTGACAAGCTACTCGCCTAGCTGACCACCCAGCTAGGCGAGAAGCTGGCATGAGTCCATCATACCGATGATACTCCCCTCTCAAACTGCAATAGCTGCTCATATTGTCTTCGAAAACGGCGTAATTGCATGTCTATCTCAGCTCTTCCTTTGCAAACGATTCAGCATATTTAAACAAACTTTGGTTACCTGTTTAATACTCCATGGCTAACGACATTAAACGCCTTCTACCGACTATACGTAATGCGCAATCACGCTGTATTTCTAATCATTTGCATATGTCCCCGACATGTACCTTTATGTCTACTTTCGTTACGATCCCGCAATTATTTCTTGGTGCTCTAATTTTTGTGTCCATGAGTGTAATATTAAGAGTATACTCGTACTAATTAATAATTGTAATTGGTTTCCTAGTGACCGCCGTTTGCCTCAATGCAGAGGCACAAACGCTTGCAGAAATTTTCAACATGGACCTCATGTATTTTACCTTTTATGTTCCCCATTCCCACATAAGAGATTTCTTTAGAGCAGCATTGGAAACTGTGGGGTGCGCCCTCCTATGGGGCGTGAGAATACTGAAAATTCGATAATAAAAGATTACTTAGGAAAATTATAAATATATGGAAATTAAACAAATAAAATACATTCTGATATAATAAAAAATTAAGTACGCCTTTACACTTATAAATCTATCACTAATGCGCAATGTATTTTACATTTAACTTAACAATACTAAGTTAAGAACAAATTTAATGTTTACCAGTGTCTCCTTGGGCTTGTCACATAAAAAATTATGACAAAGAATTAATTTTTATCTTGGTAATTTGTACGGTTTATAACTAATCCCTTAACTGCCAATGGAAAGTTACGGGATTCGCTCCCAATTGCTACCGTTTTCTACGCAGGCGCGCGGATGTGATGTCTTGGGAGGGGATAAGAAAAAATAAAGAAATCGTCTGAAATAAGTAAATCCTTCGTTAACACTGTCAATGTCTTTTTATTGCATTCTAAAGTCTTTGGAATAACTTTAAGGAAAGCAGTGTATAGAAAGGACCGTACTTCGGAAAAATATATATATTTACGTCTGGGCAATTATGACTTTGGTTGAGCAAGACGTTTATCTACGTCGGTGGGTTTTAAGAGGTTAATTTCGTACTGCAGTTTTAGTGTCAAAAATGTAGTATTAATTAATTCAATATATTGTACTTGTGTGGAGGGTTGGGGGGGTGATGAAAATTATGATTGAATATTGGGTCATCAATAGGAAAAGTTTGAGATGCCCTAACTTTAGAGAGTCCAAAGTTTTGTGCAGTTTAGTACAGGCTCTTGACTCTAAAATTGAGCATACACTGTAAAACATAGGATTGAGAGCCAGCGAGTAGGGTGATCATTCTTCAGATAATATCATTTCTGGAAAATTCACCTTGCACCACTCTTGTGTCTTTTCGGTCATACAAACTAGTGCAGCGTTTTGTTGAAGCGTCCAGTTTTTGTTTACGAAATGCTTTTGGTCTCACGGAAGTAAAAAAGCTTAAATAATGTCCTTCTGGTACATGCTTTGATTGATTTTAACGCCCTCTTCCTCTGAAACCAAAGGTGTTTTGCCACTTTCGCAAATTTCGCTCCAGACCATGACCGACTTAGGATATTGGTGATGTTCAACAATTGTCGATGTGCATGGAGCGTCTAAACACAAGATTCTATCGTTTTGGAAGTTATGAACATTTTGAACCGTAAAGAACTTCACATTAGTGAAAAGGAATCTCTTCCAGCGCTGACTTGTGGCCCGTCTCAAAAGTTATCGGCATCTTCAGAGCCTTACGAACTTTTTTTTCAGTGAGAAGCTGAACTTTTCGCAACTTGTAAGGCTTCAGTTCAATCTCCGTTTTATCTATTTGCCTCACTGATCTGACAGTTATTCCCATGACACGATTTATCTGTATCATGGAACCCTCCAATTTCTCCGGACTCTCTTTTGGATGGCCTTACGATTTCTTGAAGTGTTTACAGTGCGTTTTCGCCCAATTCCTGGTCGTCAACCCTCATTGCCAAGCTTTTTGAAACGGCAAATTGTATCAGACACTGTTTGCCGAGATACATTCAGCAAGCAAACTGTCGTTTTTCTTGCTGTAACAACTCTGAAATAGCAGACAGTTTACTCGACACATAACACATAAATTAAAGTAAAAACTAAGAAAAAAATATTTTATTATTAAAGTATTAGATACAGAAACATGAAAACACCAATTAAAAGGAAATTCGTTAAATATTCTAGAAGGAAGGCAAGAAATTTGAGATTTTCAGCTGCGCCTTGTCTATTCTGTCTCTATTTACACCTTATTCAAATTATTAAGCTTAGTAACAAACCCACGGATAAAATTTTTGTTATTTTCTATAATAATGGAAACAAAATTGCTGACATAGCTTGTTCTGAACGGATGTATTGAATCCGAGCACGTGCAATTTAGAATTTATAATGCATGTACAGTTTCTGCAGCTTAACCCTTTTTGTTAAAACTTCGGCATTACAAAAATCACTGAACAAAGTAATCTCATCTCAAACAATCTCATTTGTATTCTCTGAAGTGTGATAAATATCGTGAAACATATAATTATCGAGATCTAAAAGTGACTTAAAAGCCTGAAGCATTAAAACATTTCAATATTTTTTGTATCTGTTCCTATACACACTTGCGTTTTGTGGTATGAGCA